GATGGATTCATTGAGGACGGTCTCGGAGGCAGTAGCTTTCTATGTACCCAAGGCGGCGATCAGTTTAGAGGACAAGACGAGGGAGAGCTGCAGTCTGCCCTGTCTACCAGTGGCTATGGCGGGCTGGATCCCTGCCTCACAGGTGTCCTCCAGGGTCAACGTGAACACCAACCCACAGTTCTGCAGCCCCCAGGTCGAAATGAGCCCGGTAACGAGAGACTTATGGGTCTTTATGACCTTGAGCAAAGTTGCAGTGGTGCTCGACTTGACGGTTACGTAATCATCAATGCGGATGGTTCTGGTTAGTTTCACTGTATTCCTTGTAGAGATCGTTGCTGCCCATGACGTTACAAGTCTCCTTATATTCCACCCATTACTTTGACCCTCCAACGAGCCTTGTTATACCTGAGACCAAGGAGATGGATGATTAATTGGATTAATTGGATTGATTAATTAGTTTACAGGCTTGAAGTTCGAACTCGTCTGAATATGCCACCGAGGAAACATTAGCTTAGTCTTTCTTCATGTATATTCCAGACATTCACGAGAGTGAGCTTGAGTTGGGGAAAATTTTTGTAGTTCTGTGAACCATCCATTACTCTATTGGATCGAATTTAGGAAATTAAGCATGCCATTGGGGTCATCTAATGCTGAAATCCTGAATGATGCACTCTTATCATGAGTGATCGATCCTGGCAGGTTTCAAAATATTGACAGTAGATTTAGCTGCGTGTCCTGTGTTCCAGAGAACTACTCAAACGTACACCATAACTATCAAAACTCGACACAGTCAACAGTGCAATTATATAACAGGATCATTTGCTCCTCTATCATCCATTCATGACTTGTCCGCCAATCCCCTTTAGTCGGACCCGCATATAATCGGTTCAAGTAGATATGCCTCATTTTGGTGGACGCTATATGCACTGTCGTGTGGACTAATACACGCGGGCTCGTTTACTGAATAAGGCCACCTTGAAGCGTCCTCTTTTTAAGAAAGCCTTCCCTCAGCACAAACAGCTGCTTGAACTTCGCTTTCATAGCGCAATTACGAAAATTGTATGCGCCGATTACCGCCAACTGATTTAAATATGCCGCTTTTTGTCGGTGGACTACCGACACCCAGAATCCGCTGATAATCATTCGTAACGTCCTGGAAGTCATATAAGGGGAGTGCTAAATTATTCAAACAGTTAACTGTCCAATGTTTTTATTTGCTTCTTACTTCTCGACCGCCTGCTATACATTTTCTTGTGATTAATCTAAATGAAGTGTCGCTGACCTTACAAAGTGTCCACTGCTTAGCCGGTATAGGCTCCACAGTATATCCATTATGTCATCGCGAGTGGGTTTACTCACCCCCTTCTTCCCCTTCCCAATATAGGAAATAGAGTCCATTAGTTAACTACCTGGCTATCCCTCTCGTGGGCTAACTCACTTGGGACTGCTTATTTTCTTTTTAGCCAACCATGCCTAAAGACGTTTCAAGTGGTGGCTTATGAGTTTCCTCACCGGAAAGCCGGGTTCATCCGTTAGCTGGCTATCTGGAATCTCCATATGGAGGCGAATAGGGAACCTACCTTCTTAGATGGCTAGCTATGAAATTTGCAGCCGCGGACCAATGGAAATGGTGCCATAAAGGCGC